GCATCTTATCTATAAAAATTTTTCTCCTGTCCAGCTGAGGTCCGCTCAGCAGGACAGCCAGCGGCACTCTGCCTGCCCCCAGGGCAGTGTTATCTCTTTATACTACAAACTACGTATAACATGTTTACACTTACTTTCCAATACCTATCACCTATGTTAGACAGCGAGCTTCTACTCTAAACCAATCCCAAAGTGCCAGCATCACAGCAGAAGATGGAGGTAGAGAAGAAGAAGAAGAAAGGCTGGACACGCCCAAGTCCCTCCATCTTGTCCCCAAGATCCCAATTCTAAAAATCCCAAAATCTATTTTTTCACCTAGTGATAATTTTATTATTACACTACTTAAACTTCTGTGCTTTCAGGTCTTCATACAAAGCTGGCAATTTGTCCATGGGTCATAATCAAACCCACAGGTGTTCTGGGCTTGTGCCAGGGTCTCTGAGCCCCCTGGCAGCTCTGGACACCCAGAGGGATGTACTGAGTTCTGACACACCTGGACACATTTTTTATGGTTTTCCACTACAAATGAATGAAACCCACTCTGCTGACATACGTTGTCCCTTTTGTTTACATAACTGCAAGAACTAATTTTCCTGAAATCCACTTGCAGCAGATACATTACTAGTGACCTCCTGATAGCCACTGCTCCTGTTCCTGAACAGCACTTAAAGCCCTTCCAAGCTGCACTCACTCTGTCCCTAACTGTAACACATCATTGCCTCAGAAATATTTTAATGCTTCAATGCCTTTAAAAACACCGTTTGAAGCACCGTTCTGTCCAAAACAAATATTCCTTAGTGAACATGAAGGGATATTTAAAAAAAACAAACAAAACACCACCAACAACAACAAAAAAACCCCAAACCTGGGGCCAGACACTTTAATCAAAGTCAGACTGAAAAATTCAAACTGATGCACACCCACAAAATTCCCCCAACATAAGCAGAAGATACTGTAGAGTGCTTTGGCAATACTCTAGCTTTTCAATTAGGCAACACAGCAGGAATTACAAGTTACAAATATGTAACACATTTAAAGACTGGGAAGGTTTCCCACTGGAGGAGCAGGGCAAGATTTACCAGCGAACAGGAGAGAGCTCCTTACAAAGAGTTTGGCTTTATCTGAGTGTTCAGAACTAGAGTAGCTCTGATTTATCCTGAAATAGCAGCTCTTACCATAAGTGACTTGTCCCTGTAAAAACGAAACCAAAACAACAAACCACCAATTTCCTTGAGAAAAATGTTTCCCCAATTTCCTATGCTCCCATGGTGACCTAGCAAAAGTAACAGGGCAATTGCACACATTTGGACTGAGCAGTATTTTTATCAGACCATTGAAAGAAGCTGAAAAAGAGAAAGAAAAAAAATGAAATACATTTTCAGGTTAGTAGAGCATCTGAAGAAACAGCAGTGTCACCTTTTCCATCCCAAGAGTGAAACTCCTAGATTCAGAAAGTCAAATCAAAGTGCTCCAACCTTGGACTAGTTTTCTCTGCAGCAAAAGAATCCCTGTGACTGAGCCATGTCCTGCAAAACACTATTGTCCTTTTCCAAACACTTCATTTTTTATTCTACAAGAACTGAGAAAAATGGCAGAGTAAACAGCTTGTAAACTTGGCATCAGCATTGTCTTTCCTCCCTTTCATCTCCATAGTCTCTTCCTCTCTGGACTCCTTCTTAAGAGCATATCCCAGACTTTTACTTTTAAAATGAGCTCAAACCAGAATGAATGGCCCATACAGGGCTCAAACCTGCACCACGCCATTATGAGAACTGTGCTAACATGCAACTATATCCTATGTTAAGAAAATACTAAAAATTAACAAGAAGGATGCACCATAACATGTTCCAAAGGTCTGCCTCAGATCTCAGCTGCACTGAAGATGCTTTAGCATTGCAAACTACAAAACATGAATCCTGTGCATGTTATCACTGTTAGGTCCTTAAAACACAGAGAGAGAAAGTATCCCAGGTATAGAACTGGCAACATATCATTCCATTTAAAACCTATACATTCCAACTGACAGTATTCACTTCATCGAATCAGAGGATGCTATGGATTGGAATGGACCTTGAAAATGATCCAGCTCCAACTCTTACTTAATTAATTACCAAATCAAAACTAGAGTTTTTAAAAAAATAACATAATCCTTTCTTTTGGTTTAAATCTTGTGGACTAATCTTGCCAAAGACCTGAAACTACATCGGGATTTTACAGTTTTATACAGTAAGCTCCCCTCAGTTGTTTTAACCCATGTATACAGTATTTTTGTATGCCGTATGTATGCATACACATTCCAGTCACAAGAAATAGCAAGAAATGGAAAAGGAAAAAGGAAAAAGGAAAAAGGAAAAAGGAAAAAGGAAAAAGGAAAAAGGAAAAAGGAAAAAGGAAAAAAAAAGAAGCTAATTATTTCTTGCAAGAGCAGGGAGGGAGAGGTGGGCATAAAAGAGAACTGGTACAAAAATAAGGGAAAGACAGTTAAAAAAACCTCCAACAAATCTGGTACTAACTCTCCTTCACATCTGTTATTGTGCTCTCTGGAGCTGATATTGCAGCCTACCCAACACCAGCTCACATTAAACTCTAAATAAGCAATTGGGCCTAATATCCATTCAGTTTCTCAGAGTTCTTTGTGGGCCAAAGAAACCATTTAGACAGCAAAACCACATCTATTTTATCACGTCTGCATTCCTCTAAGTACAAAATACAATTTTTCAAAGACGCCAAACACCTCACTGAGTGCCTCAAACATCAAGCACGATACTGGTTTATAACACTGACTACTCCTACTTGTTTGTTTGGTTTTTTCCCAAATCAACAACAAAAATATGCCCCAAGGCTGCTAGCCAGATACTACTTAGACAAGAAAAGCTATTCTTTTGCTAGCACAGAACTGTGGGACTCTTCCTGAAACAGCTCAGGCATTTTATGTATTAGTGAGAAACACTCAGGATTCTGTCACTCCCTCAAGAACTATTCCACAAAATGGTGCAAAAGTTTATTCCAGGCAAACAACCCCTGAAAATTCCTGAGTCTTAAAGAAAACAGCATTTCAAGAAACTGACATACATTTCAGAATGGGATAAACTTATGTAAGATTTTTTTTCACTCTTAATTCCTCTTTTACAGCTCATGAAGGTGCTTCAAAACAAAAGGAGGTTTCAGGTTTTACATTTTAGTTCTACTTTTCTTCTTAAAGGACATTATAAAGAAACAATTAGCTACTCCAAGCAGTAGTTCCAACTTCTAGCAAAGACCTACATCTGAACCGCAAGGAGAAAATACTTATTTTTAACACACCTCTGTATAATTTATCTAATTTTTCTGTCAGTGCAAGATGGAAATTAACTCCTGATGTCTGAAGTGATGCTATTTTAGGCTGATAACTGAGTAGCTGAACTTAATATGGAGAGCATAACGTCATTAGAAGATATTCAGTTGTGTTTTTTTGGTTCTAAGACTACTTTTTTCAAATTTTCATTTCTAATTCTACTCTCAGCTGAATTTAAGACAGCAAGGCAGAGAGGTAATGTACAAGTTGTCTTTTACAACAGCTCCTAACGATTCCAAATTAAGAACAGATGTTTAGCACATACAGTTAAATTAGAGAATGTTTAACAAGCAACAAATCTGTGATCCTTCAAAATGACTCATCTGAGTTGCTGGATGAGAAATCACAGTCCCTGCTGTGATTTTGATCACAAGTGTGATTGACCATTATCATGTCATCAATACCTTCTGCAAAATCACTGGTAATATTGTTCATGCTGACTTAATTCACTGAGTGAAATCCTTTAGTTGTGCTTATTAGAAACTAGATAACTGTAAAACATTTCAACAAATATATTTTAATAACTGTATGTTTAGCTAGGATGCTCTGATGAAGTTTAAAATGGTAAAGTCTAAACACATTCCTTCTCCTGAATGAAGGCCTAGAACAATTGTGCTAAACTGATTTTGAAAAAATCATGGCTTGAGAATTTATGAAAATTAGACCACATTACATCAAGACAACCACATTTAAGCCCAAATGCACCAAAAACAAATGCCTAATCCATCTGAGTTTAGTATTTCATCAATTCCAGCATTGTTAAAAGGTCACATATATCTTTCTCAACATGCCAGCTCTATAGAAAGCAACATTCACCCTGAAAAGGTCTAACACATGAATAACAAAAAAAAACCCTTAAAATTATGGATTTGTGCCACAACAAGAGGATCATGGGTGCGTTTTATGCAAAGTAACTGGCGCTGAACACCATCAACAAACAAACAAACAAAACCCAAATCACTCTGCATCTGGCCTACTTAAAACTGCAAAGCTGATGAAAAACATCTACTAAAAATAGTAGCACCACTACGGGCTTATAAATAGAAATTAGTCTTCTCACAATGCTGAATTCACTAACAATACCCCAAAACACAGTGATTTCCAGCACAAAATGACAATTTTCATAGCAATTAATATTCAACACAATATATACAATACGCAGATATTATATAAACCAAGATGACAAATCTGCACAGTAAAAAGTATTGACAACGTCGTGCAAAAACACAGTGATGGTCCTTTAAGCGGACTAAGACAATTTAAAAACAAACAACCTCTTCAAGCAAGTTTAGTATTTGTGGCGAATATTTCCCAGGTTAAAGCTGACCACTGTGTCTGCTGCCACCTGAGCACAGTGAATTGGGAGCTGCCGAGTGTCAGCGCTCCATCAATGAGTAACTTGAGCTGGAGCCCCAAGGCTGCGGCTTTAACCCGCTCTCTCTGCAGACGCACCAGCGTCACCCTCGACACGGATTACAAACGCGGCACTTCAGCACTGTATGACCCACTTTAAATTCGGATGCTGAACGCAGGCAGTGCCTCTCCGAACCTGCCTAAATTAACCAGCATTAACCCTCAGCACGACATTTTCCCGCGATGCAAGCCGGGGGGTCGCAGGGCCCGGCTCGCTCGCAGCGTTACCAGCAGGACAAACAGGTCGCCGTACCTCCCTGAGGATGGAATTGCTGGGCTGGAATCGCAAGGGGAGAGGGAAAGCAAACCTGCTGCGGGTCCGCCGGCAGGAGAGGCGCTGGGCATGCGGGAGAGGCGGCCGTGCCCGCAGAGCATCCCCGAGCGCCGCACGCACCCCCCCTTCCCGAACAGGGATCCCCTTCCCGGACAGGGATCCCCTTCCCAGAAGCGGCCCCCCGCCCCGCTCAGCCCGCCTCCCGCACGTGATCGCCTTCCTCCTCCTTCCTCCTCTTCCTCTTCCTCTCCCTGCCCCCCCTCGCCCCAGCAGGGCAGCGGGCTGCGAACTGAGGAGGACAAACCCGCGCCCTCCCCGGAGAAAGCGGCGGCTCCGGCACCGGAGGGACTGGGGAAAAGGGAGGGAAGGGAAAGGAAGGAAGGGAGGGCCGAGACGACCCGGGCCGCACTGGCGGCCCCGCCGCCCCTCTGGCAGCAGCACGCCTCGCATCCCTCCCAACCCGTTCCCCGCCGCGTTCCCCTCTGCCCCCGCTCCGGGCGAGGGTCAGCGAGCTCACCCAGCGCGCCGCTCCCGCCCGCAGAGACGGCCCCGCCGCACCGGGCAGCGCCGCAGGCCGCGGGGACGGGCGGGGCGGGGCCCGGCGGCAGGGGCGTGCCCGGCCCGGCCTCCCGCTCCCTCACGGAGCGCAGGATGCGGCGGGACCGGCGGCAGGGGCGGGCCGGGCCCGGCCCGGCCCGGCCCGGCTCGGCTCGGCCCGGCCCGGCCCGGCCCGGCCCGGCCCGGCCTCGCCTCCCCCTCTCTCACGGAGCGCGGGATGCGGCGGCACCACCACCCGGCCCGCCCTCGGTGCGAGGGCTCGGGGAGCCGGCGGCAAGGGGGGCAGAGCGCTGGCGGAGGCAGCGGGAGCGGCCCGTAGATAAGGCTCTTATCTTTGACCGTCAGCACCCCCAAGTTGTAGTGCAGCCGTCGGGACGAGCAGAGGGACCGATTAGCCGTCGTTCGCCCGGATTTCGCTTGTGTCTTTTGCAGGGATTCGCACCTGAAAATCACAGAATTGCAGAGTTGGAAGGGACCCTCAAGGACCATCGAGTCCCAATTCCCAGCCCCAGTTCCCTGCACAGGACCGCCCCTGTCCAAGAGTCGCACAATGTGGTCAAGAGCATTGTCCAAATGTTTCTTGAGCTCTGTCAGGCTTGGTACTGTGACCACTTCCCTGGAGAGCCTGTTCCAGTGCCCAAATCCCACACTGGATAAAGAACCTTTTTCTTATATCCAACCAAAACTGTTTGATAGCTTCAGGTCATTCCCTTGGGTCTTGCCACTGGTCACCACGGAGAAGGGATCTAGGCGTGATTGCTGTCACTGAAAATACACCAGAAAATCAATCACCCAGCTGCTGTAGGAAACCATCCATTCCTTTGGGAAGCACGGTCTCCAACCTTATTGAAGCCCAGGGCTTGTCAAATGCTTACATATGTCATAAGGTTTGTCTGCAGTTCAGTGCTGCAGGCTAGATCCACCTCTTTTAACAAGAAATGGGTGTAGCAGGGAAGCAGAGGAAGGAAGGTGAAAATATAGCTCCAGGAAATCTCAAGATAAAGGCACTTGCTCTACCCTGCCTTGCCCACTCCTCTTCAGCCCAGCATCTTCGGGGATATCTGCACAGAGTAGCTGCAGGAAGGTGATGCTGGGCTGTTCAACCTGGAATTAGAACACTGCTGGAAACAAAGTACTCTAAGAATTTATTATTTAAAAAGACATTATGGTAAATGATAGCTGAAGTGAATTAATCTTTGTCCCACAAACCCTGAACTCACAATAAAATGTCCTCTTCAGTATTACCTCTGATTAATGGGAAGAGGAATTTTCTGGAGGTGTGAGGAACACCTTGCAAGATGCAAGATCCTTTTCTTTTGTCTAATCATTTTTTCTTAATCTAACTTTGTAAATATAATCTTTGTAAATACTTTGTAAATACAATCTATCTAAATAAATACTTTATGCAATTTTATGCTTTTTACTCATGTTGATTTATTTTGATTATCTATGTTTTGTTTCTTTTGTTGTGCTTTTTGCAGTTTTTGCACTAAAGATCACCTCAGGCTTTCAGGGAGGTAACTGTTTTTACTTATTACTGTTGTTTTTCATGCAAGTAGAAAGAGAAATACGTGGTTCTCACTCGGCAGTCTATGTTTGAATTACCTGTCACCAAATAGACTTATACAATATGCTTAACACATTGCAAACCAAAGGCAGCAATCCTCTGCCACAGCGTGTTTTGAAGTAAACATAGCTTGGAATAAAATGTGGTTGAAATTTAGCTGAACAGATTAGGAGTATAATTTGTGATAACACATGAACAGCCACTGTTACTGAGGCCTCATCTGTAGTTGAAATTATATGAAAAGATAAGTGTTATGTCTTAAAAATATAGCCAGTAAATAGAGACTAGATTTCAGAAATCTAAAGCCTGTGCAGGTTGTGTGTAACCACTAACATCACGAGGAAAGCAAAACCTTCAGTATTCCTTCATATTCCTGACTGAATGACTTGTTATAATCCAATTAAAAAATATGATATATTTGATAGCTATAACTAGCTGAGGCTCAGATCTCAATAAAATGCAGCTATCAGATCTAATAGCCATACATGCTCACAGAACCAGCCAGCTTGCTGGTTAGTAGGGAAAGAGAGATCTGACTGTAAGAAAAGGCAATTAGATTGTAGCTCTTCCATTTTGGAGTTATGCTACAATAGACACAGGATTAGAGGAGCAAAAAGATTCCCAAACCTAATTTCCTTAAACCCTAGGTGTTAGAGAAATTTTTTACACTGGGTTCTCATCTCCATTAGATAGGTTTATTGGCACCAATCAATTATGGTACCTGATAGCTCCAGCCAAGTGCCTGATAAGAGGGACCATGGAAAAAGAAATCCCTGGGCAAATACACCCTTACAATGTAATCTCCCCATCCATCATGTGACAGTCTGGAGCAGCAGCTGTACTGGGGCTGTGGTATTGTTACCCTTTGTTGTTTCTTAGCTGATTGCTCTGTGATCATTTTTACATGCTCTTAGGTTGGTTTCAGTGGGGGTTTCAGCCAGTTTTGTAGTCTATGTTGTAATATTGTTGTTACAGTTCATATGCCACAATTTAGAGGCTGTCCACTCTGGAAAAGGAACCATCAGCTTTAAGGGAAAGGCATGACAAAACTATGGAAGGGAGAGGGGAAAGGGATCCTGGGTAAAATCTAGCAGAAATGAGAAATATCTGTCTTCAGATAAAGAACTAATATTTTAAGACCTGTCAGATTAATGCCTCCTCTGCCTCCTTCTGGGTGGCCTATCTCCTCTCCTCCGCTAGCTTTGTCAAAATACTGTCTTACAGAATCTCACTGGGGAGAAAAAAAAGTGTTCTGCTTTTGCTGTTCTACAGGGTGTATGGAGGGGATCCTGATGGGTAAAGAATTGTTTCAGTTCCTACTGCAACGGCATCGCGTCTTGCTTTAATCAAGGAAATTCAAGTAGGGTTTGCTGAGAAGGCTTCATTAAGCTGTACTAAACCCAGTCAGTAATTAAAGTGCTTAGCACAGTATGCTTAGGCTATGTTTTCTAATCTACTGAGAACGTTGCGAGTCAAAATATATCATTGTATATCACACAGAGTATTATTGCTAGGTGCCCTAATTTCAGTTCATACTAGTGAGCTAAACAACAACTTAATTTTGGGAGCTGATAATCTTCTGCTTTTGGACAGGGAATGGAGAGATTTGGGGATTTACATTCAGTAACCACTCAGGACATGATTTCAGACAGATTAAATTACGTAGAAGTTGGATTTGAAAGTCCTTCTGAAGAAATTTGCACAGAAATTTGTGTTTGTAATGCTGTCCAAAGAGAGGACATTTAGCGGTGCAGACTTGAAAAAAATGAGCTGAGCATGGACTAATGGACTATCTTTTCCAGACTGTGTAGAGGTATTTTCCTAACTGTCAGTGGATCTGAACACAGGGAAGGAACGACAAGGTTAGGTCATGGAAGGAAGGGCTCTGAAGTTTCTTCAATATTGCTGTCATGGTTTAGATCCAGTTGGCAACTATGTACCACACAGCTGCTTCTTCACTAGACCCTCCAAACCAGTGGGATGGAGAGGAGAACTGGAAAAATGTAAAACCCATAGGCTGAGACAAGGACAGTTCAATAATAGGAAAAAGGAAAAGGATAAATAAAAAACTAGAGAAAAAAACTGATGCTTAATTAAATTGCTCACCACCTGCTGACCAATGCCCAGCCCATCATCAAGCAGCCATTGGCAGCTCCCAGCCAATTCCCCTGAATTTAAATATGGAATATCCCTTTGGCTAGTTCAAGTCATCTGTCCTGGCCATGCTTCCCCTCTTAGCTTCTTGTGCACCTAATATAATGAGAAGTCCTTGACTCAGGGTGAGCACTGCTTGGCAACAACCAAAACATCAGCCTGTTGTCAACATTATTCTCATACTGAATCCAAACCACAGCTACTAGGAAAAAAATTAATTCTATCCCAGCCAAAACCAACGCAACTATTTTCCTAACAGAGGCATATCTCTCTGTCCTGATGTTTGAATGTGAGCAACTGAGTTTCATGTCCAGGTAATGGAGTGCCTGCTCCACCTTCTAAAGGAGTGGAGCAGGTTGTGCCTAGGTTTCAGACAGCATTCCACTTAAATTGTTACCTTGGACTCTGTTCCTATTACAGGGCATTAAGGAAAGACTGCCTGTAATCTTCTGGAGCAAGAAAAATGGAAAGAGAAGTACAGTAACAGTACTCATAATTTACATCCTAAAGCCTTTGTCATTTGGTTTTCCTCTGCTTATATTTAAGTTAGTATTTTTCAGTCTTTAGCTCTGTTGCCTCTGTAAAAATGGGTGTCAATAATAGGTTCTTTGGCAGAATAAGTAACTAGCAATCAGCACAGGTTAATATTTTGGTGTTGTTCTGAATGTTCTTATTCTCAGGTTTATATTCTTTCTTTCTGGAGAAAGACCATCAGGGTTCATTTTGAAGATGAGGCTGAAGGAAATGTAATTTCTTATTCAAAAATGCTATTGATAGATCATAAGTAAAACCTTATAAAGCCACAT